CTTGGATATGTGACCCAAACGTTTATGCCACAAGTTAGCAGACCGTTTATTCAGTAAACCACGTTTAGTACCAACATTATGATGCAAGGTTAAAAGAGTCTCAGCAAAAAGATTATCAAGCTTTAATTTGTATAAGCCATCACAAAGAATAGCGGAACCAATAAGATGATTTTGCTTAAACAAATTCAAACATCCATTTCCACCATTATAGAAATATCCAGCGGAATCAAGTTTTGATAAAGAAACTAAATTGCGAGAAATGGAAGGTACATAAAGTGTTTGAAATGAATCTAAATGATATCTAGTATCTAAAATCAAAAGATAGGTTCCAATGGCTTCAACTGGAGTTTTGACTCGATTTCCCATGAGGACAAACTTTTCATTTGGATTTATGGTCTGCGTTGAAAGGAATCCCTGCATCGTATTAGTAACATGAGTGGTACATCCAGAATCAATCCACCAAGTATTATAAGGAACTTCTGCCAAATTAGATTCGAAACATATGTAAGAAATAATCTTACCTTTACTTTCGAACCATGCCTTACGTTTCAGGTAGTCCTTTTTATGGTGCCCAGGTTTGCGATAGAAATGGCACACATCTTTCTTGTGTTCCTTATTGTGGATTTGGGCAGAAGACTCATTTATCTTTAGTGGTCCTTGCTTAATGCCCTTTCTAGACCTTTTCTTATATTTCTTTCCAGCTCCTTGACGACTTACAAGATGAATAGAATGAGTTCCTTGATTCTTAAGCCTTGTCTCCTCTTGCACGAGTATACTGTGCAATTCATTCACATTCCATTTGTCCTTTGAGGTATTATAATTCATATGGAATGGACCATACTCAGGAGGCAAAGAGTTAATGATAAACTGTACTAGGGAGTTCTCATCCACAGTCATCCCAAGAGTCTTAAGTCTTGCTGCAATGTTACTCATTTCAGTAACGTGCTCATGCATAGTACGAGAACCATCAAATTTCATGGTGGTTTATGTACCCATCAGTGTGCCAGCAAGCAATTTGTCAGCTGTTTGGGAACGTTCTTCCACAAACTTCATATATTCCTTGGCGCTCTCAGTTTTAGGGATAGTAGACTTGATATTCTTTGCCAAGGTCATTCGCATAAACATTAGGCTTAATCTGTTAGACCTTTCCCAAGCCTTATGGAAAGATTTTTCATCGGCACTGCTCTCATCAGTGAGATCAGCAGGTTTCTCAACTTGAAGTGCCAAGTCCAAATCCAAAACACCTAAGTTGAACTGGACTTGTTCACACCAGTCAGAGAAATTGAGCCCATTGAACAGTGATACAGATGAAACATACGAATGCAGAGAAACGGGAACAGATACTGCAAAATATAAAATGCTCTAACATTAATGCTTTGAGTTTTGACTTAAACACTTAGGCCCCGTTTGATTACACGAAATTTTCCATGGAACTTGGAATTCGAATTCCAACTTCCACTTTTGGCCTGTTTGATTGACAAAATTTTCCAGGGAATTGATTTTCCATGAATTTCTAGGTACAACACCTTAAAGCGTGATTTTCCATCTTTTTTTTTCCTAGGGGATATGTGGTTTTTGGTTTTCCACCTTATTTTTATTTTTATTTTTTTGCTTTTTTTATTTTTTTTTAATTGTTAGCAATGGGAACAAATTTTAGGAATAATTGTAAAAGAGAATATTCCTGAAATTGACAATTTCCACGTAAAACAAAGTCAAACGAACATCAAAAAATATTTTTACTTCAACATTTTCCGCGTGAAAAATTTATACAATCAAACACAATAATTTACAATTTCCATGAAAACAATTTCTAGGTAATTCAATTCCCTGGAATTCATTTTCTTTCCATGTAATTTTCTTACTTGTAATCAAACGCACCCTTAGTTCAGATTCGGACAACAATAAATGTATACCGTAGTTCTCCTTTGGGTGATACTACGTTATACCATCATAATAAACATAGTGATGCTAATTAAATTTCACTTAATTGGTAATTAATCATACTCCAATCAAACATGTTTGTCATCTTTGGATATACAAAACACATCCAATTAAGTATATCAATTAACCACGATCATGTTTAAGATTAATAAAATTGACCGATCAACCTTTGGGTGATCCATAATAATTTTATAATCTATGAACGTCAATACACTATTGACATCAATAATTTTAATGTCATTTCCTATTATAAGCATCACATTATCAAGATTGTTTGACAAATAAATTATGTAATTTAATGTTTACATCCCATAATGTTTGGCCACTTTGGTGACTAACAAACAACATTAATTGAACATAAATTACATAAACAAAATATTTATCACATAACATTAATTTCAGATTTACGTACATTTGACCAGCCACAAAACACATGATAAATTAATTGAAGCAGTCATCTAATCACATAGTACAATTAATCGTTCATGTGAGGCAGTCAGTAATTAATATATATGGCCCAGATACTTTAAAAATTCGACATCCCAACTACACTAATTACAGAATTACTACAGTAAATTAGGCACTCATTTATATTGTCATTTCAACAGTGAGCGTACCACCTTTCGATAGTTACTGTATAAAATTAATATGCACACAGTTCTGCCATTGTCTTGGAATTAGAACCCTTTTGAAATAAACATTTGATACAAAGGCCAATTTGACATAAATATAGGCGTGCACTCTTTCCTTTCAATGTGTCAGGTTTCCAATTTCTATTTATATAATAATCATGTTATAAATGGTGATGGTCCCCATAAATTCATAGGCAGAAAGGCAGCCCAGAAACTTCCAAAATTATATACGTACAGCGGACGGCAGATCCACTTTTCATTGTGAAAACCAAGAAATCAACTTTTCTTCAACCAATAATAATTCATCATGTTTGACAGAATTAATAATGTTTTCTACGGAAGTCATCCCATCCATTAATTTACATAATACGCGAAACAATAATAAATGCAATTGATGTGTAATTTTTCTGATGAAACAGGGACTGCTCTTTTCACAGATTAATATCGGTGCAGTA